GTCAATGACTACATTAATTAGTCTACGAGACTGCTAGTCCTCTGGCCAGAGGGTCACCAGGGTAATCACAGTTTTATAAATATCTTCGCAATGTGCAGCCCAACGCTTTCACTGGCCTGCAGAGGTGACTTTCCAGTACATGTTTAGAAAGAGAGCTGATCTTATGATGACGGCCACTGTCCCATCACAACGTTATGCTTACTGGGACTGTTTGCCCAGTATCCACGAAAACAGGTTTGTTCAAAATGTGTTTCATCAGTGTGTGTTTGATTTTGTAATAGACCCCAAAATTCAGGAAGCCAAAGACAGACATATGGAAACTCTGTATTGCAAACAAAGTGTAAACTTACACAAACATAATGGACTTTATGTGGCAACCCCCCCACCCCGTGTACGTACAAATTCTTATTTATGCACATCTGTCTTCACAGATGCTGAGCAAAGTATACATGAGAAATTGAAACACTTAGTTCTGTTTTACTTTTACTTAAAATATTCCCTATGTATGGATAATTTTAAAATTTCCTAAATCTCCAGCACGGAAACTTCTTACCCAGGCCGTTAATACATGCATGTACATATATACTGCTTTTCCCTCCAACATTTGAAAATCTGAAATTTGAAGAGTCAATGCTGAAATCAAATGCATACTCACACACAATGTCAAATTTATGTTTTGAAGGGTTTTTTTTGTTTTTTTTTTTTTTAAGTTAGGGGAGTATAGCCCATACGGAATGAATGCCATGTTAACTACTGGGTCTTATTGGTTCTGTTTGTTTTGATGGAGTTCCTCTTTCCTAACTAGTTCCAAATTTCTGACACATTAGCCACAGAGAATTGCCATTCAAAGACTGCAGTTTGGTTACAGCCATTAAAAAGGTAGTGGTCTTTTTTTCCTGCAGTAAGAAGTGTGAAATTTGAATATGTGAAGTGATGATTTGAATATGCAAAGTCCCACAGGCAGCCCTTTCTGTGAACTATAGAAGCTCCCCCCCACCAACCAGGGATTGAACTCAGGCCCTTGTGCTTGCTAGGGAAGCGCTTATTCCACTGAGCCATCTCCCTGGCACTGTGAACTATAAACAGGATCCTTTACCCCACTTGTCTTTAGAAAGTACTTCTCCAACCTGAGTGGCATCCACACCCCTGAGGCTCTCGTTCATATGGATTGCTGGTCTATGCTCAAAAAGTTTCTGATTTAGTAAGTGTAGAAAGATGGAGCCTGAGAACTGGCATTTCTACCAAGCTCTTAGGGAACACTGCTGTACCTCTGGGACACATGCTTTGAGAAATACTATCTAAAAGGAGATAGAAAATTGTGATGCTGAATCTATTTCTCAATATGTGGCAGTGTTGTCCAAGCCACTGTTGCCTGCCCATCCTATTATAATAAATCTAGATTTCAGAGTCAGGGGCTGCATTGTTCCACCTTCGAGACCCAGATCACTGTGTGATGCAGTTAACATGAACAGATCTTGCTAGATTGTTTGGTTCCCAGAATCAAACTCAGGACCTTGTGCTTGCCAGGCAAGCACTTGTGCCACTGAGCGGTATCCCTCAGCCCTGTTTGGTTCCAGTGATTCTATTTCTCTATTGAAAATTATTTTTTTGGTAATTTTTAGTTATTTTTTAAAATTTTATTGAGAAACAAATAGCAATGAGACAGTTTCAAAACTGATTAGTAGGACAGTTTCAATAATTAATACATTGCATATTGTTGTCTTCTTAGTGGTTATTCATTGTACAAGATGCAGACATGATTAGGTAAAAAATGAAGCCTTGTACGGAAGCTCCTCTGTAAGTGCTTAAGGAGGGTGCATAGTGCAGATAGTGCCTTGGTGAGAAGCAAATACTGAAGCAAATTCAAGACTGAGGGAGAAAGGTGTTAGAGAAGAAAGACCAGCAAATTTTTGTTTCTCGTCATATTGAGAAGTTTTCAGTATTCATGACTGCCTATGTACGGTAACTCTTGGGTTCTTTATTATCAGTTTTAAAAGACAATCTGACACCTATGATGTACCGTTATAGATTGTGTGAAAAGCGCACCTGTCCAGAGTCAATGTCAACTGGGCAGGAAATCTGAAATTTGATATTCAGGTCAGCTGAAGAAAGAACACACTGGCTTTTCAGGAAGGCGCCCTCCGCCAGCGGGGAGGATTCGTCCGGAATTCTAAAACCTGGCCTTCAACCCACAGTCCTGGCCCCTGATCGGTATCTCGTGCTCCTCCATGGAAACAGCCAGTGAAGCACAGCCATGTGCGGAGAACCACTCCTCCTGTAGGCTGCACGCAGGCCAAAGCAGCAGGCAGAGCGCACTCAAGCCAAGCCTATGACCTCTGCGTGTCCGCGGTTGAGAGTCACTTCAGTCTAGGGGTGCAGGTGATGGGAAAGAAAGGACATGTTCGTTCCAGACTGACAAGTTTCTATTAAAGAAGTCTGGGGTGTTACAGGAGCTCATGTATAAATGCTGAATAAATGTTTCCCCTCTATGGATGCACCTTATGTTATTCACGTACTTCCGTCTCTCAGAAATGTGTCACCATAATCCTCACGACTTGGAAGATGGAATCAGCCCCACTTCACATCTGAGAGACCGCAAGAAAAGCTAACTTGACCCAAATTGTAAAAAGAAGTGGCGCATCTGGACCCTTTCCTGACTCCAAAGCCAGGTGTTGTTTCTACAGACATTGTCCTTTCCTGTACCTGATTTTTTAAACTCAGATTGAGCATGCCCATTGGCTATGAATATGTAGTTCACAAATGTAACATTCCACGCAGGAGGATGTGTTTCGGGGTCTCGAACCCTTTCGGGGCGCTCTAACCCTTGCACAGCCGTCCTCCTGCTGCAGCTCACCTGCAGCGCCCAGCGACTCCTGCAGCGAGCACGCACAGCGGTCCTGGGTCCTGTTAGCAGCGCCTGGAAGGCTGTTTCCGTGAGAACCGAGGCGCACACCTCCTGGGACACGAGGACCTGTGCTTCGCCACAGCAGTCCCGCTGGCTTCCTGGAGGCGAGGGAGGACAGCCCATCCCTGCCCACGGGCCGGTCCCCAGGGCGGGCAGCTGGCGTAGCTGAGCCACGGTTAAGCCTTTGTGGTGGCTGGTGGCGGTGCCAGTTGAAGGGGACACGTGGGCTTGTGGCTGTCGACTGCTTTCGCCAAGAGCGAGGTTTACTGGAAACGGAGACCCTGCGAGGCTGCGGGTGGACGGAACTCGCGTTCCTGACCTACCGTCTGGGTCAGCCGCTCCCCTGAGCTTTTCTTATTTTGCAGAAGACAGTTTGGATCCATGAAAACGGTAGCACAAAACCCCAAAATACAGTAATTTCTTACAGTGAGACTGATGAATGCAATTTATATACTCTACCATTTATGTATCTGATTAAAAACTTTAAAACGGGAGTTATAAAGTATCAGATACCTTCAAGAGGGTTTGTGAGAAATTAAGGAGCCAGAACACAGAAAACCAACAGCTGCTATTTGGGGGTAGCCAGTGAGCTTATCTACCCTCTCCCTTTCTTGATGTATTTTTCCCCCTAGAAAAACAAAGCAGTTGATATTTAAATGCTTTTTGTTGTTGTTGGGTGGTACCAGGGATTGAACTCAGGACCTTGCACTTGCCAGGCAAGTACTAATTCCACTGAGCTATCTCCCTGGCCCCATATTCATTCTCGTTGTATCAACTAAACACGTGGACTGCCACGAGACTGCTCTCTCATCAGCCTGCTCTTAGCAAAGGAGGCATGGAGGGGTCTGCAGATTAACTGAGGATGCTCATACCCTCGAGGGGACACAGCAGTCCTTTCTTCCCAGATTCTGTTTCCTCGTTGCCGTCAACTTCTCCCCTCTCCTTGTCACTGAATCTATCTTCAGAAAACCCTTCTGGAGTTGTTTCTCTCCCCTTCTGTGGAAAAGCTTATAAATTTCACAGCACATTTAATACTGAGTGCTGTACTAAGTGCAGACCTAAGAGGCACAGTGGTTTTAGCACAGATATTTAGAAAATGGAGGCTTAGAAACTTCTGCTTGTCTTTTAGATAGTATTATGCCCACGGATCATGTATAACTTCGCTCTACTTTGTCAACTCTTTTTTTTTTTTTTTTTTTTTTTTCAGAACCGGGGATTGAACTCAGGCCCTTGCGCTTGAGTCAGGGAAGCACTTATTCCACTGAGCCATCTCCCTAGCCCTTCAACTCTGTCTTAAAACAAAGCCCTAATTATCCACGGTGGTCGCCGGGGTGTTTACTGAGTGCTTCTTACGTGCCAGGCACCCTGCCAAGCAACACCCTGGCACTGTCTCCTCTTGCACAGCCAGGGCGAGAGGGGCTCGGAAGGTCAGTCCCAGCCGAGGCCCTGGACCCCGGCCGGCCCCCCAGGAAGCAGCGGGAGGGCAGGGGCGGCTGCCCACTTGAGCGGGGAACCTGGGCTTTAAGGAAACACCCCAAGTGTACAGAAGAGCACTTGGGGTGACGGGCAGGTCCGTGCAGCAGAAGTCAGCAGTGCTCCGCTCCTCGGTAGCCAGCCCTGGTGCCTCCTGCGAGCCTAAAGGTTCATGCGTCACCAGGATCTGGATTTACTGCTCGGCAGGCAGGTTTGCACTCCCGACCCAGCTCCCGGCGGGGGCAGCGGACACGTCACGTACCAGAGGGGACCCTGATCCAGGAGAGAAGACCAGAAAAACAGCGAGTCGCACAGCAGGTCTGTATATGTGGCTCGCTTCCATCTTTCTCACCCTCCCTTTTTATTGTGAGCAATACTTAGATTAGGACGGGTGCTAAGGGCGGAAAGATTAATGAAAACTCTAATTATTGCCTGGGATTAGCACACTGTCTAACCTGACTCCAAGCACATTCATTTAATTCGACTAAGAATACCAGATACAAAAAAGATGAATAATTAAATAGAAATTTATCCTGCAGATACATTATATTTTTCTAAGAAACCCAGTTACTATCCAAAGCAAGAGTCAGTGTTTTAAAATTTTTATTAATGAGTTCTGAGTACAAATAAATTTAAATTAACTTTAGAAAAATGATTCACTGAGGTTTATTCATTAAAAAACCTGTTCTGCACATGTACATCTCCAATTTTAATAACATCATAATGCTTTTATGCCGGTAACTTAATTTTAGCTTTTAATAATTCTGTCTGTTGCATCTGGATAAAGATACCTTATCAGGTAGAAAAAAAGCAACTAATTAAATATCCTGAATAAAAAACTTGTCTATAAACTCTTATTAAAGCATTTAAAATAAAACTTCAAACAGAATAGTTTTGACCAAAAATTAGCAGTTTAAATGAAACATATTTAAAAAATATTTGTATTACAAATTTTATATATATATATTAGAATCATTGTAACATAGTAAATATCATATATAAAAATCTCTTTAAGAAAAAATTTTAATATTAGCACTTAGGGGAGATTATGCCCAATTATAAGTAACACAATTTAGACAATGATAGATGGTACATTTTTTAAAGACCTAGCCACCTAAGTCTTATCAAATAGTTGTAGAATGACATTCATGAATAAGTTTCTATAACGACTCTTCTCAGTGTGTATGCTCGGCCTCAGAAATCATACAATGAAGAAAGATACGGTGACTTCTTGGAAAACGCCACTCAGTTCAGAGTAAGCGCCTAGCTGGTGGTTTTATTCTCCTAGACATACAATGTCCTCCACGTGGCACTGTAGCGGTTTTCTCCTGGCTGGTGACAAGCACTCCTGGCGCACTCCTTTCTGACTGAGGTAAACTATAGACCTCTAAAGAAAACCGCTGCATTTCAACAGAACTGTGTCCACTCTGCTCAGCAGGGCAGGAGCTCCGTTCTAGACTTTTATCCCAAGTGGCATTAGAACAAGTCCTACAAGTCCAACAGTATTACCCTTTGTTTCTTTAGTGTGAGGGCAAATTCAGTCTTAAAGCTGCAGATTCAAATTTCCAAACAGGGACAAAAGTAGGAATACATGTGACTTCCAGTGAAGTATAACCTCCCCATCAGCTGGTTTAGGAGGAAAAAAATATTAATTAGTTAAAAGGTCAAAATGAAGGTTGAGACACCTCTGCAGTGGGGAAGTTTCACTGGCTTGGCAATCTCCCGGGGAATTGGAGTCCAGCGCTCTGGAGTGGCTGGTCGGGTCCTGGAAGGGTGACTTGGGGTCTGCATCTGACTCCCCCACCCTGCCTATTTTCCTGCTCCACCCTCTGGCTGCTGTGGATTAAGCAACTCCCCCTACCCTTCCACCTGATGTCGCTACCCTGGAGCCATCTGACCATGGACTGAATCCCCTGCACCGTAAGCCATGAGCCCATTTAATCCTGCTCCTCCTCCAGGATGCAGGTGCTGGGTGCTGGGTCTCAGCAGCAGGAAAGCTGACTACCATATCTTTATATTTGGTTTCATTAAAAAAAAAAAAAAAGCCTGCTCCATTCTTGGTTAACAAGATGCCTAGTGCAGATATGCTGTTTCTTTTCAGTTGAGCTACTAAAAATCATTTTTAATAAGGACTTTTTAACATTAAAAAGTCTCAATTTTTATAATAAATACTAACATATTTTAATATTTACAGTCAGAGAAAGATGCCAACTCTGGCCAGTCATCTCAGGGCCACTTCTTCAATGTCATCTTCGACAGAACCAACCACTTTTACTGCTGTCTTGTTGTCTGCAGGTTTTAATTGCTGTTTATTTGTATTAAAACTTCTTCCTTCCCCAAGGAAAAAGTCTTCGTCTTCATCGTGTTCCCGGTCTCTACTGCTTTTAACCTTATCACCAGGGAGGACATTTGGAGGATCGCTGCCTCCTCTGCTGGCAGCCATGGGACCTGTGTCACTGCCCTTGGAGGAGAAGGCACTGCCGCCATCGGAGCCAAACAGCTGCGCCATCAGGTTGGCTTTCTTCTCTTTTCTTGCAGTTAAATCGATAGTGTCTTTACTGAGAGGGTCTACACTGGGTTTTGGAAAGTCACGAAGGCCACTTTTTTGCCTAAGTGGGTTTGCCTTGCCTGAGGTTTTTGCAAATGAAGGCACATAGCTACCAAATGAAAGCTTGCTTGGAGAGGCTGGAGCTCGAAGCGTCCCTGGATTCTGGCCTTCTCCCTTGGGAAGTACAACACTTCTGTCTCCCAAGGGGTGCCCATTGGACAACCTCTCTGGGGATTCGGAGAACGTGTGCGCTTTGGGGCTGTTCTCTGAGTGCAGTTTTGATTCCGAATCGGGTATTAGTGGCAAAGGAGGGTATTTCAGCTTCCAGGGATCTTGGAGCTCTCTGTCAATCTCACTCAGCTTAGCAAGCAGCATTTCAGTCTTAAGTCTTTCCTCTTCTTCTTTCAATTTATCAATATTTTGAATTTGATACATTCCCAACTGGTACCTTCCAGTTTCCAGTTCAGGCTTTTCTTCTCTCTCAAGTAAAGATGTCTTTTCTTTTTGCTTTTTATCAAGTTCTTCTCCTTCCCATTCTGTATGAAATCAAATTTTGAAAATAAGATTTTATAGCAGCTAGTATTTTTAAATAGGAAAATTCAATTACCATGTTCTACAAAGCAATAATTTTCATCTAATGTGGGTATTAGTACAGTAAGATGATCATAAAATTTCATCTTTATACTAAGTAGCTGGAATTAGGGAATACTATACTGAATTTAAGATTTACATTTATAGAAAACGTTTTGTCTTCAAAGTATGGATAAGAAAGGCTATTTTCATAATAAATATAATGCTATCCACTTCATAGAGGTTGGTGAGACGGTGGATAAAGACTGTTACAATTAAAAATAAGCCCTGTGTGCCATCTCCTTAACAAGGCACATTGTTTTTTGTTTTGTTTTGTTGCGGTACTGGGGATCGAACTCAGGACCTTGCCAGGCAGGTGCTTATGCTGCTGAGCCATCTCCCCAGCCTGATACATCACTTATTCTGATAGCACGTGCACTAAGACTCAAGTTTGGACAAAGCCCAAATGAAGAATATTCTGCTTTTAAAAATGGATTCCTAAGGCCGGCCAAATAGCTCAGTGGATTAAAGTGCCTGCTTAGGCAGATTCAGGGACCAGGTTCGATCCCTGGTGTGGCGTGGCGTGCAGGTCCCACCCCCGAGGCCTGCTGAGACGGCGATTGAGACTAGGCGTGGTGGCGCGCGCCTGTCATCCCAGCGCTGGGGAGGCTAAAAACACAAGGAAGATCACTATGAGTCTGAGCTGTGTAGTGAGACCCTGTACCAAATACATAAATTGGGAAGAAAGGAAAAAAAAAAAAAAAAAAAAAAAAAAAAAAAAAAATATATATATATATATATATATATATATATATATATGGACAGTAGAGTACATGGAGTAAACGTGTGCTTTATTACTTGCTGGATTTCCTGGGATTGAAAACTACACTGGCACGTCCTCGTGTGGGGCAAGTCCACATGCGAGTACTGAAGGGATAAACTTCGGATATACGATTCACTCTTAGATTATTGTTTTTGCCACTTTTCTCTGTGAATTCCCAAATGGAAATGTTTGCATACACAAAACCACACAAGTGTGACCATCTTAACAGGAGGCCTGCGGCCTCTCGGCTGCCCAGAAGCCTCTCCGCGTAATTCCGGCGGACAGCATGCCAGTGTGAGGAGGGCAGCGTGGGCGACAGGCTCCTGCGGCTCGCGTCCTCGCCCTGCGACCTGGGAGCAGCCGACCCAGGCCCGAGCCCTCTACTTTCTACTCTGACCTGCGAGCGCGCCTACGTCACAGCCGCGCTGCATGCACGCACGCACGCTGCACGCATGCGTCAGGCCCTCGTGCTCCAGGAGGCTGGCTGGAAGAAAGAAAAAGGCTTCCTCCAGGCGACAGTGCGCGCCCCTGCCCGCGTCTCTGTGGTGTTTTATCCAGGTAAAAATGAACTTATTCTTAAACTTTATTTCCAGGGTCTGAACCTGCGTGGGTTGGTTCACAGCTTTTCACACTAATGGTTCAACACATGAGAGTTTATTTATTTTATAACTTAAGATTAAAGAAAAGCAAACATAATTGATTTTTTTCACACTTTCTCAGGCCTAGAGAGCGTCAAGTCCAAGCCGAGAGAGTGACTTCCACGTGTTTCTCTCTCACGTTGTAGCTAACCCTCACAAGAATGTCCTTTTTCCTTTTCATCGCAGCCTGCATCAGACGCATTCCTGAAGCCACCTTCTGCGCTCTCCCTCTGCCTCCCCGCCGCCTCGGGCTGCCACCGCGGCCTTCCCTCAGGGCACCTCTCAAATGCTTGCGACTTGGGACACCAGCTCTGCCCCCATGCCGGCCCCTGTTCTGCAGCGCCAGCTCAGTCCTGCGGGCGGTAGCCGCCGGGGGACCCTGACTCAGTCTTTAGCAAAGGGCAGGGCTCCTCGGCGGCGCGGGCCGGCGCTTCTCTTACCGTCCTCCCGCTTCTCAGCCCCCCGCGTTGCAGTGTGCGGGCCTTCATCTTGAACACTGGGTTCTGCCTTTTCCACAGCCAGGCTGAGAATCCGTGCGTCTCTGTGCCCATCATACTCTTGGGATTCCAGGTCCTACAACACATTTTTAACATGCAAATTTAAAAGGGGAAAATACTATTCAAATATTACAAAGTTATCTTCCAGCCGGGTGTGGTGGCACACACCTGTAATCCCAGTATTCAGGAGGGTGAGGCAGGAGGATCACTGCAAGTTTGAGACCAGCCTGGGCTACAAACTGAGCTCAAGACTGATCTGAACTGCACAGCTAAATCTTGTCTCAAAGAGAGAGAGAGAAAATTACCTTTCATTAAGCATGAGGACTAGTTAGAAATTCAACCGCAAGTTACCATGCTTCAAAAACACACAGGATTATTTCTTTCTTTGGTTATAATTTCCAAGAAACTATGTCAAAATCAGTACAATTGAAGTAAAGCCAACAGCGTTTGTGAAATTCTGAAGCTGCACAAGTACAGTTGCTTTGTACATTTCACAGTGAAAGGTGATTAATTCAGCTGACTAGAAATGACTATCAAGCGCTTGTGGTGGCTGCCTGTGGTGTTGCTGAAATATAACACAGGATGTGACAACTGCCCTGAATTTTTCAAGTCCTTTCTGTGTCCAAAGGCTCCAATTAATGAATTCAGCAATATTTAAATTAAATAAGAACATTATGAACTTAAAATTCCTTTGCTTGTTATGCCTTTCAAAAGAGATGTTGATTATTAGTAAAAACCTGTCCAGTGGATGCCTGTCCCTGTTATCCATTTTATGTATGTATTTATTTAATTTTATTTTTCTTTGTTATTTTTAAAGAATACAAAATAGTGACAGGAAAAAATAACAGCATTAGAAACAATACAAGATTTCACTAAACAAATAGTTGCTGTGTTACATGATGCTGTCTTCAGATTACCAGCTGCAGCAGGGTACAGAACGGGCGCTCAGCCGGGCACCACCTTGCTCCCCTCCCGCCACCTACTTAGGACCAACAAGAGGAGAGTGCAGAAGCATGCACAGCCTCCAGTAGCTTGCTCGCTACCTTTTCACGGGCTTGGGAAGCTAGCTCCAGCCACACTGACAAGGAGCCACCCTACAGTGGACATCTGGAAGAGTGAACAAGCGCGTACAGCACCCCGTGGGGGCTGCCCCCACTGATTTCGGTCTACTGGGAGAGAGCGGCCTGTCACTTCCCTTGGCAGGACACTGCACCTCCTCCCAGGAACGCCTGTATCTGTGCCCTGACTACGCTCCCATCTGCTGAGGTCCGTTCACCCTCAGGGGCCTGAGCGACTTAGATCTGTCATCACCACTGCCCTTGACAGCGACTCCACCCGCTGTGCACGTGAGGAAGCCAAGCTGAAGAATGGAGCAGGCAGGGCTGGCATGCAGCTGTGTGCTCTGACACATCAAGCACGGTTACCCCTGCCGGAGTAGAGACCAGGAGCTGAGACACGAGTTGTAAACTGTTTTGCCAAGAGTCTACACTTCATCATTTCAAAGACCCAACTCAGCAGACACAACTAATGTGTCTACCGTATAAAACAAAACACTGGAGTATGCAAAGGAATCAAATCAATCCATCCTCTCCATTTTACACCATGAGATCTCATACATGGTCCCTAACAAAATTTATAAGGCATGAAAACATATAAAATATACCAGGGGCCGGTGAGATAGCTCAGTGAACTAAGCATCTGCTTAGGCAATCACAGGGCCCAGGGCTCAATCCCCAGCAGCTCATGCCACATGGCCCCAGGTGTGCTGAGCCAGCCACTGAGACCAGGTGTGGTGGTGCATGTGTCTAATCCCAGTGCTGGGAAGACTGGAAACAGAAGGATCACTTCGAGTCAGAGCTGCATAGTGAGACCCTGTACCAAATACATTAAAAAATAAAGTATATTGGGTCCTTTAAATTATACTGGAATATTCTTTTTATTGGAATTTAGATGGGAAACATTCAAAATAATTGACTCTTAGATAAAAAGACCTGCCAGTGATTCTGTATGAAAGTCCTTTCATAAGAAGGCCTGAGGCTTCTGAATCTGCTCTAAACGGAACAGATGAAGTCAGAGCCAGCCACAGTCTGGGCTGTCAACCTCTGAATGTCTCTTCCATAGGAGGCGAAGCGAGACATTCTAGTTCAACTCTAACATCTGAAGACTACTGTAGTCTGCAATTAACCATAAAAACTTTGAGTTTTTTCCAAGACCATCTGGGTGTATAAAAGGAACTGTGGAAATCAATTATTTGACCTCCAAACCAGAAGGTATCAGAAAATGCAGTGAGTCCACCTGAAAGAACTTAATGAAGCCCAGATTTATCTCTTGCTCTTTAAAAGGCCAATCGAGTATTCGCACAGGCCTAACACTGAGAGTAGCTGAGCCCTACAGCCTCGGACGTGAGCATGCTGCTAGACTCACCAAAGAAAGATGCTCCGGCTCGTCCCACCTGCCTTTGTAACGCCGAGTCATTTCTGGTATTCCAGGGAACTCTTCCAGTTCAGACTCTTCGGTGGTCTGTACTCCTTTGGTACACAGGTCTGTAAAATCACTCTGGCACGCAGCTACCATTAAAAGCATAAAAAATTTCTAAGGCCCCTGAACCATAACAAGATACATGGATTCAACTGCTATTTATTCATTATCCTAATAAGATAATGCATGTTTTGCTCAGCTCAGTGAGTGCACCTTAATAATTTTTGAAAGATTTAACTAGAAATTACGTGATTTGGGGAAATTCTGACTAAATGCCACTAAGACTTTACAAAGTTTGTTTTGAATTTTTGCAATTCACAAAGTTATACTTTTGCTTGAAAAAAGTCAAACCATGTCAAAATATTTAGTAGTGAAATTAAATGATATTTGGAATTTGTTTGAAAATACTCTAGGAAAAAAAGAGATAAAGTAAAGGGGCTGGGGAGATAGCTCAGCAGTCTAAGTACCTGCCTGGAAAGCACAAGGACCAGAGTTTGACCCCCAGTACCTGCATGCTGTGCCAGCCACTGAAACTGGGCATGGTGGCTCTGGCCTGTAATCCCAGCACTGGGGAGGCTGAGACAGGAGGATCACTACAAGTCTCTTGGGTAGCAAGCCTCTGTACCAAATAAAATTAAAATAAAAATACTTAAAGTTGGTAAAAAGCTTTACTATTAAGGTTAGAGTGATACATAAAGTTTCATTTACCATCTTGAGTATTCTGGGTATGTATATATCTATTTTAAAAAATATGTGAATCAATCTTAATGACTTTAGATGCAAAAAACTGACCAAAGTTGGAGAGCAGCACAATTCACAACTGATGAAGAGAACGTGGTGGTTACCCATGAAGGAGCACTACGCTGCCTGAAGCAAAGGATAAGCCCGAGTCATTTATCAGAACATGGATGTAGCTTGAGACCATAAGGTTTGGGGAAGTGAACCAGACACACAAGCTGAAATACTGAAAGGCTTTGTACAAGAGAAACCCAAGCTATAAGTTAAGCATACTAAAAGCTAATAGGAAGTAGGGAAATCTTCCCAGACAGGAAAGGGATCCGGAGATGGGGGAAAGAATAAATTCAGACATGTCACACACACGTGCCCACTCCCTACTAGCAGTGTCACCCCGTCTGCTGCAGACGCGGACTAACAAAAGCAAAACAGATTTCTGAACACTCGACTGCAAGCGCCACAGCAGGCTCTTTGCTCTCCTTTCTGCTACCTCATAATGTATTTCATGGAGAGCTCTCATCAGTTTTTGAACAACAGTGACTATACCGTTTTTTCTTGATGAATTCTTTTCTTCTTTCTTTGGAGAGGACTTTGGCATACGGTTAGAGTATATGTTTTTTATGTCCAGTTCTCTCTCTTTTTCCTGAAAACAAACCCAACAGAAGGAAGAAGAGTCTTAGTTGAAAACAAAACAAATAGCTTCCCTTAGTCAATGGGCATTTTCGTTACACACTGAGCTGAACTGATGAACCAAAGGCCAGAAGAGAGCAGTAATTCTCCCTGAGAAGTCCAATATATCCTGATAGGTTAAAGAAAGGTGAATGGGACAACCTTCACTTTGTAACTTCTCTTGCCTCCTGGAGGTAGTAGTACCTTACCTGTCACCCGTCTTAAGCCCCAGAGACAAAGCATTTGGTAAGACTCTCTACAATATGCTTTGGATGTACAGATAAAAATTGGGCCATTCTTTTCAACACAGGTGTTCTTGACATCTGGGACAATGCTTTTTTTGAGAAATGAAACCATGTAAAATAGTGCATGGTGCCTAGTGCATAGTGCATGGTGCGTGGTGCATGGTGCCACGCGGCTTCTGCACAGGAGTTCAGCCCATCAGTGATCTCAAAATTCGAATGCTGCCTCTAGATGCTGTGAAAATGAAGGCATACCAGAGACAACGCTAGAAGGAATCAATGATGATGTTTCAGAAGAAGAATATTAAATTATTTAGTCTTGTAGCACAAATGCAGACTCCCATAATTTCCTTCTAGAATTACCTATTTTAGTCACACTGTTCCTATTATAACTAAATTTTCCCTTGTTAAAGTGATTATGTCAACAAACCTTTTCTTTGTTTTTTTTTTTTTGTTGTTGTTGTTGTTGTTGTTGTCGTTGTTTTGTTTTGTTTTTTTTTGGTGGTGTCAGGGATTGAACTCAGGATCTTGTGCGTGCCAGGTAAGCACTTATTCCACTGAGCTGTCTCCCCAGCTCATCTTTGTAGAATTGTGTAGACTATATCTTATAAATGTGAAGAAGTGTTTGAAAAATAGTCTGTTGTCATCCAGCTTATGTTACAGGGGAAACATGATATTTAAAATAAAGTGCTTAGGGGCTGGGGAGATGGCTCAGTGGAATAAGCGCTTCCCTGGCAAGCACAAGGGCCTGAGTTCAATCCCTGGTGCTGCAAAAATAAGTAAATAAAATAATATAATACAAAGTGCTTAAAAAATAAAAATAAAGTGCTTAAAAGAGAAAAAGATATTTATGTATTTATGCAGTATAGCTTGGGTAATTGCAGTGCTGATGTCTAATGATCTATTGAAAGGCGCAGTTAATGCTTTTAAAAAATTTTTTTCTTCTTTTTAATTTCTTACAACTTTTTTTTCTTAACAATTTTGCAGGTTTATATCTGGTAACCTAAACAACTACCTTGAAGATAATATTATGTAATACAATAACCATTCTCAAAATCCTGTTACTTTAATGAAATTTTATCATTTCTAATGGGTTTTTTCCATTTTATATTCTTTAAACAGTAAAACAATAAAGATAAAAGAAAGCCCTTACCTTTAATTTGTCGTGCAGCTGCTGTAGCTCTCTCTGAAGAACTCTGTTCTCATCGTGGGCCTCAAAGGCTCTCTTCCTCTCAGCAAGCAGCTGCCGCTGGAAACTGTTAGTGCTCAGCTCAAGGTTTTTGGACAGCTCCTGCAAACGCAAGCACAGTAACAAACAGGATTCCAAAAGAACCCCACAGTAAGACATAGCCATTAATGGCGTCCAGGTGACACTGCAGTTAGCTGCGCCCCAGACAGGGGGATCACTGCGCGTCTGAGCTACACAGCCAGTCTCTGGACCAAATACAAACAAATAAGCAAACAAGCAAATAAATAACGTGCAAAGCATTTCTAGATAAAACAGCTACTGCCACGTATCAAGCATACTCCATGACATTTATGGAAATACGTAAGTTAAAACATTCCTTTTTAGAATAAGTTATCATGATACCATTCCTAAATTCTGGATTAAAGAAAAATGTTTCTTAGGAATAAAAAGGTATTGCAAAACTCATAAAGAAGTCATAATGCCATCCCCTGTAGGGGTCACGGCCAACATCTTAGTATACAGAGGATGAGATGTTTTATGTATTTTTCTCATTAAATAATGTCCTAAATGCCTCAGGCAACAGACCTTGATTAATACTATGTCAAAATGGAACAGTATTCTATTTTTAGATTGTCATAGCACACTTAAGCAAATTCTGCTGTTCAATATCAGGGTGTTTTTTAAGTTTTTTATACTGAATATCCTACTGTAGACAATTTTATTCATATCTCTTATTATTTCCCCAAGGTAAATGCTAACAAATACAGTTCCTCGAACTTTAATGAAATTGAACATTCCTAGTCTTTGAAACTGTGAAGAGAAGATAAGCCAGTGTGAGAAAAATATTTGTACGTATATGTCACAAAATTTAGTAATAAACTGCTCAGTGAAAAAAAAAAAAAAAAAAAAACAGGAAATATTTGAACAGATACATCACCAAAGAAGACACAGAGACATAAATAAGCACAAAGAATGAAGCTTCGATGCCATTAGCCATAAAAGAAATGCAAATGAGAGCCACAATGAGGACACAGTATTAGCTATGGATTGGAATGTCTAAAACTTCAAAGGCTAGCCAGGCCAGTTAGGCAGCTCAGGAGCACAGCACCTGCCTGGCAAGCTCAAGGTTCTGGGTTCTATTTTCCTGGCACCAAAAAAACCCAAACAAATGAAACTTTAAAGACTAAGCAATATCTGCAATAATATGTTTGAGTCTCAATTTTGCTGAATGAAAGAAGCCAGATTTAAAAAATACATACTGTATGACTACTTACTGTTACAAATGCAAACTAATTTATAGGAGCAGCAAGTCCACCAGTTGGGGACGGGTGGGCGGGCCCTGAAAAGGAGGCGAGAATGTAAAGGAGCACTAGAAAGAAAGCCACACATGAAAATATGAAAAAGTCGCACAAGTTCAAAAATTGGTGTTTCATGTTTGACACACAAGCATACAGTTTGAAGACTTGAGCATTACCAAAACGCCCCTAGCAAAGGCTCTGGCCATGTAGTCCTCAAAGTTCTTAGGAATAAAAAGGTATTGCAAAACTCACAAAGAAGTCATAATGCCTTTATTTAAATAATTCTTGATTAGGGTGTCTTGATTCTTTATCAGCTTGCCCTTCCAAAAAAACAATACGTATAATTAATTTGTGTTTCTTTGATTACTGTTTGTCACGGTTTGGGGTTTTACGAGGGGAACAACATAATAAACAACACATATTTTATAAGATTTTATAATAGTCACCTGAAGAATCCAGCAAAAGGTCTGGATCCCACAATAACGCCCTGCATGAGTCCAGCTAAAGACCTAGTGCCCATGACAGTGCACCCAGAGTCTAACTGGAAGGCTAAAGCCCATAACAGTGTCTCATGCAGGCCTGCTTCATTGGAAAGGCCAAAAGGTCAGGGGCAGAAGCTGGAAAGTCTGCCAGCAGGATGAAGGACCTGTGCTGGCAGCTGAGGGATTGGCACTGAAGCCAGGAAGCAATGCTCAAGGGAAGCACCAGAGTGCCCCCGAAAGGTACCCCAGCCATCCTCAGGGACAGTGAGGTCCCGAGCTCCTCCAATGAGGAAAGCCAGGTTCCCATCAGAAAAGCCAACACAAGTTTCTCCAGGAGGCTAGCAGGGCACCATCTTCCCCTTGGGAGCCAGGAAGCGATGCTCAAGTGAGGACCAAAGCTCCCCTACAGTGAACCGTAACCATTCTCTGCAACAAGGTCCTGAGCTCCTCCGACAAGAACAGCCAAGTTCATTAGGAAAGCCAGCATGACACAGTCTTCCAGCAAAATATCCCATGAGAATCAGCAGCTTCCAACAGCTCCCCAATAGCTCCTCTCCTCCTCCTCCTGTTCTGCCTCTTGGCTGCCAGCAACAGCCCTTAGCTGGGCCTCCCACACCAGCACCATCCTGGTTCAGTTCAGCTGGGTGTAACAAGTTGGCCACCAGTTGGCATCCACCACACTGTTGAAGTTAATTTTGATAATCAGCCACCCAATTCTTGACCTACAATTATTTTACAATGTGAAAGGAATCTAAAACAAGGACAAAATATGAAGAAAATAAATTGAAAAACAAAAATACGTGAGAAAAGTAAAAGCTAAGAAATTTCTTGGATATGCAGAGATGAGTAAAAGAGAAGGACAGGATTGGAAAAAATTGTAATAATGGATGATATGGAAAAAATGGGTGTCGATTTTGAAAAACAGGATATTCACATACTCTTAGAGCAGCTGCCCAAAGACTGCTTGCTGGTTGGAATGGAAGGGGAAGAACAGTCATTGCACATTGGTAGCCAACTCAAACACACACCCCGTGGGGTTTTGGGACTTTTATAGAGGGAAAGGGGGGAGGTACAAAGGCAGATTTGGTGCATTGTGATTGGAAGATTGGGTGACATCATGGATTGTTAAAGGAGTTTAAATACCTCCAGTTACAGTACAAGGGCATCAGTTAAACAAGCATGAGTTACATAAAGGAAGAAGTGTCCCATTATATTTGAGGTTACATTGCAAAGCCATCAGTTATACACGGCAGTAAAGACAGGGGTCTACACGAAGGAGTGCTCTGTCATTGGGCCTGCCTGACATGTCCACTTGGCCTTTGGAGGGCATCCTGTGTAAGCTTTTATTTATAATTTTTAATTTCCCCTTTCAATATATTGACATTTCTCTGAAGAGGAAATACAAATGGATATTAAGTATATGAAAAATACTCTTATCATTAGCCAACAAGGAAATCCATATCAAAACTACAATGAGGTACTATTGCAGGCAGCCGAGTTAGAAATATTATAAGCAGTCAGACAGGGCCAGGTCCTCTAAGGAGATAACACAGAAAACTAAGACAACTACAGGAGGGGTGGATGCTCCTGCTGTGAACCAGACCTAAAGGCCAAACAAATGCTAAAAGAGTAGCACCTGGGATATTCTAAATAGGTACCAATCACCTGGAAAGACCCAAGTGAGTCACTAGCCCAACCACCAACGGGAAGAGACCCTGCCTGTATTCATGCCCGCTTACTCAGTGACTCACTTTCCCATTTGGTCCTGGGCATAATCAATTTTACCTGAGCAATGGTGCTTATAATCTCATTGGTTGACCATAGTTTTGTCCCACCCCACATCCACCTAAGCGAGTTCCCATTTTCTCCACCTTTGCCCCGCATGGTTTTACACTGTAAAAGTCCCTGGAAGAGACAACTTCCTGAGGGAACAATCCACTTGGGCACCCCTCCTGTCCCTCTCTCGAACAGAAGCTTTCTTTCCCTCAATAAATATATTCTGCTCATAACCTCCGTTTGTTCCTAAAATTCATTCTTCAGTTTTAGAGAACACAAACTCGTGCAGGTCAGGTCAGAAGATCATCTTTCCCTATGTCATTTGGAGGTTTCCTATATCATTTGGAGGTCACTATCCGAGATCAGTTTTTCTCCCTTATCAGTACCATCTCACCTCAGAAAACCTACTATTGAAATAGCTTTTAAATGTTGCTAAGGATGCAGAGAAGAAGGAAGTCTTACATATTGTTGGTAGGAATGCAATTCAATGCAGCCACCATCGGAAATTAATTTCTCAAAAAGTAAAAATAGAACCACGTGATCCAGAGGTTCCCCTCATGGGTATCTGCCCAAAAGAAACAACAGGAGACCCCCATGCACCCATCATTACAGCACCGGTCACAGTCACTAAGACGCAGAAGCAGCCTATGTGCTTATGCACACAGCACGCATGCACACACACATGCACGCACAATGGAGTCGACATGGCCAAGGGCAAGCGTGACCTTGTGGCATTGCAGGGAGAAGGATGGATGTCACACAGAGAGAAACATGTCCACAGCAGCATAAAAAAGCTAGTGGTGCCTGTTCTCTCATGTGTGGACACAAAGAAAAAAGTCAACCTAGTAGTGGTTACTAGGGACTTGGAAAGTGGGGTGCACCTGGGATGGAGTGGGAGTGGGCAGCTATAACTGTACATTGTGCACATATATGAAAATGTCACAGCAGGTCTTAACATGTACAATTAACACCTTAATAGAAATTAAAAACATTAATGACAGCAAATACAAAATCTGAGATGCAATAAATATAAATCAGTTCAAGTAACCACAAATGAAATGTAAGACAAGACTATAAAATGGATAAAAACACAAACTTCCAAATAAGCACTGAATGCACAAAGCTTTAGGTCTGAATCCAACAAATTTTAAGGAAACTATCTCTTACAAAGCATTAAAATGTAAGGAAACATTCCATTCTGATGAGTATTTTTTGTTTTGTTTGAGACAGGGTCTCACTATGCAGTTTGGGCTGGCCTTGTGCTCACTTTTGTAGCACCCCAGGCTGGTCTTGAACTCGCAGAGATCATCTTGACTCAACCTCCTCAGTGCTGGGATTATAGGCATGTGCCACCACATCCAGTTCCAGTAGCTACCCCCATCCAGGGCCGAGACGGCTTGCCTGAGGATCCGAGGCTGAGACTGCAAGGCATGTGGGGCTTGGGATCCAACTCGGGTCCTTGTGCTTGCCAGGTAGGTGCTTATGCCTCTGAGCTATCTCTCCAGTCCCTTAGAGAAAATTTTTATGATCTTGATGTCAACAGTGC